CGTACTACTATGACCATGGGCTACCAGTGTGGCAAGTTTCAAGTCAAAATTCGAAAGTCGGATTTTGCTCGAAATCCAAGCTCTATAGGCAAAAACTGACTAAAAATTCATTATCTCAGCAACAAAGCACCGCGGGGATGAACCAACTTAGGGTATTTCACTACTCACTGAGGTCTACAAGATACAAGTAGTTCAAGTTCAAAAGCGATTTATAACTTCAAGAGGTTCCCTCGTCAGACGTCCATATAATTGTTTTTCAAAAATAGTTGCATCTAGACGATTCTTTGAGAATGAGAACAGTCTTGAACGCGTCTAGACGTGCTCATTCAATACTGTTCGACAAACTAAAGACAGTTTAGACGCGCCTCAATTGTATTTAGTGTTTTAAACGCATTTAGATGGTTTTTTGCCTCGATCAAAGAAAAACGGGTTCATATTTGACGGCGACAACGCTGCTTACATATTTTTTTTCCATTCACTCATCTTCAGGTTCGTGTGTCCAGCATAGCTTGCTCTCAATTCATCTTTCTTGATTATAAGTAGCTCCGAGAATTGTATATTTATTCGCTTTTGATAGAATATAATATGATATCGAAGTGACAACAATTAGACAAAACATTAAAAAAAATAATTCATGTCGATTCTAACACTGTTGGATGTTGAAAAAAAAATGTCTTACTTTTCATTTTCAATCTCATAAATATATAAAAGCGAATACGATCGTATTCACCGATGTATATATTCGGGCACTGGTATTGAAGATCATCCATAGTCAGATGCGCTCAGACGGATTTCTCGCGATCGAGATAGAAATTAACGTCTACATGTGTTTGAAACTTCCTTTCATCTCGGGTAAAAAACTAGACAAGTCTGTGCGCATTTGAGAAAATAGTCAAAATGTGTTCGAAATTGGGTGCGTAGAGGAGCCCCAAACATTAGAACCATCATGCGTCTGACCGCGCTTTCTTCTGTTTCTTTGAAAAAAAAATCATCTGAATGCATCTAGCGATAAAAGTTTCGGTTTACAATGAGTTAGAAGCTTTGAAACACGCGTGGATGCGTTTATTTTCTGGAAAAGCTCGTTCATTCGACATACAAAAACGCTTATAGCACTTACTTGCTCTGAGTTATTTATTTTGAGTTATTAGATTTTAAAAAAGTGAAATTTTCAAAAAATAAAAGTTTAATTACACTAGCTTCGCAGCACGATTGAGTGATTTGTGAATAGTTTCTTAGAAAGATGTGAACAAAACATGTGACTACTGAATTATTCATACAAGAGTCTGAAACAATTATTTCCATTTTAGTTTTCTTATATAGTTGAATTATTCGTTGAGATGGCAGTCAGTCAATACTCAACGTGTTTAGAAAATCTAGTTTGCAAATCTGGAAACTCCTCTCGTCTCCCACTCGAAATAGCGCTTTACTATAGAATTCCCTGGGTCCGTTGCTTACTAGAAATACCATGTTCGGAAGGAATTCTTTGCATAATATATTGCTTTAAGAAATATAACACAATACACCCATGTCGCTGTATTTATTCAATGACGAATATGATTGCATAATTACGACACAATTTATTCATTTCTTGCGCAATCCTTCCTCTTTTTTATTATAAAAATGTTTTAACGCTTATTACTGTTTAGGTAAAAGTAATTTTTTCGTTCTGTATTCTCATGGCTTACGGACAGATAAAAGAACAGTGTACATTGACCTCTGTATTTTATGAAAATTATAGTCTTGATGACACCTATTCTGCTGATGAGGATTTTGATTATTCCTTAGTGGAAGAGAATGATGTGATCATCGAACATATTGATGATATTGTTGATTACCTGGATTCACACGTCCGAACACGGCATCGTGACCGATCGTCTTCCAGCAATAGTCGCTCTTATTCCTCAACTATTATTAAACTCTTAACATCATCTCAAAAACTTTTGCAACAACAATGTAAACATCGTCAAAATCCGCCAAAAACTCAAACAAGAAAATTTAACCAACGAGCCAAAAGACAAATCCGATCATTAAAAACTAACGACTTATCGAAATTATTTCAATGTGACTATGATTTGAAACAAGAACAAGAGTTAGAGGAAGAAAAACTTCGTCTTAATGCAGAAAAAAAAGAAAAGGATGATGAAATTGTGCCCGAAAAAGAAACGATCATTAGAGAAACTACCGCTATAGCAGTCAAGTCAGAATTAGAAATTAAAAAACGAAAACAAAAATACCACAAACATCATCGGAGACCACCACTGCGTTCACTATCTGCTCCTTCTCCTGAGACCAAAAAACAGCCCGACACTTTAAAACCTGAACAGTCAGCGAGTTTTATGGCATTTCGACGCTATTTTTATTATCACTATCGTGAAACAATTCAAACATCACTAACTTTTTCAAGAGATGGAATTACAATCAAAAATGTTCGATTAGTACCACCGAGTGAAAAAAGGTATTCAACACAGGAAAAGTTCATGAAATTCCTGAATAAAAATCATGACGCACAGGATAATCGAAAAATACCAGATTTGGTCTTTCATGGAACACATATGAACAATATGCAGAGTATAATTAACTATGGCCTTTTAGTACCAAACCGAAAATATTCCGATGATCGTCCAACTATCGCCGTGAAAAATGGCAGTGCTTACGGCGTAGGAATCTACACAAGTACATCAGCGCAATATTCAACTGCCTACACAAAGGGAACAAACACGATGTTGGTTTGTGCCGCTATCACTCATCTGCCATCGGTATCATCATCAAAGACAACGATCAGTAAACAGAAGGAAGTACAACAATGTGGTCACATTGTAGTTATAAGGCACGAAGCTCGCATTTTGCCGTTATTTCTAATAGATTTTCATCGTAGTTGTAATCAGAGTGGATCAATCAATCGCTCAATATTTCATTGTGAGAGTAGTAAAACTATTACTTCGGGGGTTCGACAAACAAAATTAGCACAGTTGCAGCTAATGAAAAGACGAATTGAAACTAATCCATTTCGACAAATCCCAAAACGACATTTGAGAAAACTACTGGCACACAAGAATACTATAAGATTACAATTGCGACAATATCAGAAACAAATAATTAGTTAAGTGTCGTTCACTTTATTTTTAAGTCATTTTTTATGATAGTCAAATGAAATTACATATTATACTTTTCTGATTTAAGGAAGAGGATGGCGGGGGATGGTCCTCACATATAGAAATTTTAATTAAAATTTAAAGTCCTAGTCCTCATTTTAAAAAGCTTGTAACTCAGTCAAAAATAGTCGTAGAAAAGTCATTCATGCATTGATTGATAGCCAATAGTCTGTTGTTATGGCTCGATGAAAAAGTTTTAAGAAATGTTTTATAAGACAACAATTTATAATTAATCAATGATAATGAATACTAATTAATATGACTCTGGTGCCTTATCCTTTTATTTACAAATTAACGGTTCTCAGTTTTTTCCCTCACACAGTCAAATTATGGAATGACTTGCCTCAAAATATCATTGAAAACAAAAACTCATCCACATTTATCAAATCGCTTAAAGCCTATCTCTATCAGTCTCT